GTGCATGTCCTAGTTATAAACAAATAGGCAAACTGTGGGGAAAAGATGTATAATGTGTGTGCCAACAATGACAATGATGTCAATATGTTGTTTTAGTGAGCAGCAGCCAAATCCTCCTTTTGGAGAGAGTCATCAAAGTGCACAGACTCTTCATTGATGGCATTCTGTTTCACAAACTGTCAGTGTTGATGCAGCGGCGCTTGAAAATCCATTCAGCAACCAGAGCCTTCCCTCGTCCACATCTTTCCCTCCCAACAATAGATGTGTTTTTGGACCAAGACCAGGAAGTCAACCACAAAAGCCAGGGCATCTTTCTTTTGCTCTTCTGATCTCAATTGTGTGTATTTTTCGAGCTGGCTGCAGCAAGCTAAAACTATGGGAAGCAAGTCAAGACTAGATAGTTTTCCAGCCACTTGCTATATCCTTTAATTCAAGGAGTAAACTAGTGGTAGAAGTACCACCATCAACCTGTTCACCTGACCAGTGGCCAATGCATTCACAAGTTCAGAGGATATGGAAATTTTGTCCAAACTGCCCAACATTTGGCCTGGATGGAAGAAACAAACACCTCTCCAGTTCCTTCGTGTAAAGATGCACAGCTGTTCAGATGACAATGGCAAAGTCAGTTTCAGTGTTGAATACTGGAGATGCCTGTGGTGCAATGGGTTAAACCCTTGTACTGGCAGGAATGGTCGGCAATTCGAATGTGAAAAGTGGTGTGAGCTCCTGTCTGTCAGCTCCAGCTTCCCCTGCAGGGACATGAGAGAAGCATCTCATAGTAAAGATAAAGGTTTTCCTCTGACATTAAATGAAGTCCAGTCGTGTCCGACTCTGGGGGTGGTGCTCCTCTAAGCCGAAGAGCTGGCATTGTCCATAGACACCTCCAAGGTCATGTGGCCAGCATGACTGTATGGAGTGCCATTACCTTCCTGCTAGAGAGGTATCTACTGATCTACTCACATCCACATGTTTTCGAACTGCTAGGTTGGTAGAAGCTGGGGCTGACAGTGGAAGCTCACGCTGCTCTCCAGATTCAAATCTGCGACCTTTCAATCAACAAGTTAAGCAGCTCAGCGGTTTAACCCACTGCCCCACCGGAGGCTCCCAAGCATCCCTGGGCAACGTCCTTGCAGACGGCCAATTCTTGAACACCAGAAGCGACTTGCAGTTTCTCAAGTCACTCCTGACATGAAAACAAAAGTGTCAGTATTCTGCTGAACAATCTATTCATGTAAGTTGTCCAATATGGGGGAACCCACAAATTCATGCCAACTTGCAACATGAAAGAAGAAACTGCATGTTTTCCAGGGCCTGATTCCAACTATACATCCCTCCATCTATCTGAAGGGAGTGTTTCCTCTCTCAGCCCTTGCCTGAAAGCACTGAAAACATGGCACAACTCTTTGCAGCAGACCTTTCCCAACAAATGAGAAATCCTGCCATAGCTGAGGACTATTTATTTGGAGTAAAATATGCTGAAAGGTAAGTTCAAGGCCCTTTCTATGACTGTCCTGCGTGTAACTCATTTCCTGGCTAGTCAGAAGTCCTCCAACTCAAAATCCTGTCCCACCCTCTAGTTAAGACTTGGGACAGCATGTTCTCCAGGCAAATGCCTTGTAGTTTTGGCAAACAAAAGGAAGAGGGAGTCAATTTGTGCCTGTGGAGACCTTGGTACTACTGTGGTAGATTTTTTTAAACAATGTCCAGGTTCTAAGCAAAACATCGGCACACAATATACTAGGGTTTTTTGTGTGTCAGGAACAACTTGAGAAACTGCAAGTCGCTTCTGGTGTGAGAGAATTGGCTGTCTGCAAGGGGACGCCCAGATGTTTGATGCTTTACCATCTTGTGGGCTTCTCTCATGTCCCCGCATGGGAAGCTGGAGCTGACAGAAGGGAGCTCACCCCACTCCCTGAATTTGAACCGCTGACCTTTCGGTCAGCAGTCCTGCCAGCACAAGCGTTTAACCCATTGCACCACTGGAGAATCGTCAATATACTAGGATTAGGGATAGGAATACAAATTCATTTTGAAGTCCAAGGAGTCTGAGTAGTAACAGTAATGTACATAAAAAATCCTGACATGATTAAAATAGAAGTCAAATGTATTGGCCTTCAATTGCAATATCTAACATAAGGATTAGTACAGATTATTTCAAAATGTGCTGCAGAATGAGAGCATGAAATCACAGAGTTACTTGCATCGTAACAGATACTGGATGTACCAGATTAAGTAAAATTCATTCTGGCCACCCAAACCTGTGGTAACCAAGCATGCTTGTCTGAACAAGGGACTCCCTCGCACCAAAAAACCTGTATCTGGTATGACAGGCATACATACAAGAGGACTACATTCTACTTGTGGTTGCAATGGTAGCCATAATTGTAACAGGAAAAGCAAGAACATACGTATCTGAGTACAGAGCTGTAACAAAGGGACTACAATGAATTAGCTCTTGCTTTAAATGCAAACAGAAGCATAGTCCAGATGCTAAATACTTGCAGTAAGAGTTTGTGCTACAGTCTGGGACTTCAGCCCAAAATTAAATAGTGTATGAGGCACTTTTGGGAAGCCAAAGAAGCTACGTTGGGTTAAGTGTAGGCGAAAGCCAAAGGTTCTTCTAGATATAAAGATTGCAATACAGTGAAGTTAGAATACAGAAGACCCACCCCAGGCATGCCTGAAATTATGGGAATGTTCCACTGTGAAAGCTAAAAGGTAAGATCAGAAGTATATGTTGTTCTATGATTAATTGCTTGTAAAACCTTGTCAGTTCCTGCCATTTGCCAAGACAAAACTAGTATCTTAAAAATGCAAATTAGAAGTATCATTGGGTTGTTGTAGGTTTTTTCGGGCTGTATGGCCATGGTCTAGAGGCATTCTCTCCTGACGTTTCGCCTGCATCTATGGCAAGTATCCTCAGAGGTAGTGAGGTCTGTTGGAAGTAAGAAAATGGGTTTATATATCTGTGGAAAGACCATAGGACAAAGGACTCTTGTCTGCTGGAGCTAGGTGTGAATGTTTCAACTGACCACCTTGATTAGCATTTAATGGGCAATCAAAAGCTAATCAAGGTGGTCAGTTGAAACATTCACACCTAGCTCCAACAGACAAGAGTCCTTTGTCTCACCCTGGTCATTCCACAGATATATAAAACCATTTTCCTACTTCCAACAGACCTCACTACCTGTGAGGATGCTTGCCATAGATGCAGGCAAAATGTCAGGAGAGAATGCCTCTAGACCATGGCCATACAGCCTGAAAAACCTACAACAACCCAGTGATTCTGGCCATGAAAGCCTTCAACAATACAGAAGTATCATTGTTGATACAAAAAAAAAAGTATTGTAAAGCGATGCTTTTGGGTTGGAGAGATTAGCTGTTTACAACTTTGGTTCTCAACCTGTGGGTCCCCAGGTGTTTTAGGCCTACGATTCCCAGAAATCTCAGCCAGTTTACCAGCTGTTAAGATTTCTAGGAGTTGAAGGCCAAAACATCTGGGGACCCACAGGTTGAGAACTACTGGTTTACAAGAAATGTTGCTCAGGGGACATCTAACTGTATTTACTCAGTCTTTGGGGAGGGTTAGAAATAAGGCTGAACACTGTGAAAGCCACTCACTGCATCGCTATCAGCCTTCTCCCAGTAGACTTAAATCAAGGGAAAGCTTCATGAGAACCACTGCTCCTCCAAATGTTCCTCCAGCAATAGCAGCTAAACCAGGAAATCCCAAATGGATAGCTCCCTACAAGGGTCTCCAGGGGCAAACCAAGAATGGGCAACTTGGAAGTCCCTGAAGAGACTCAGAAGTGGAGTGGGCAGATCAAAAAACAACCTGACAAAATAGCACAACCTAGAGAAATCCTCCACCTTGTGCAACTGTGGAGCAGAACAAACAACTCCGCATCTGCATGCTTGCCCCAATGCCCTGCCTCATGCACAGAGGAAGAAGCAGTGGTTATCAACCCATAGGTTCCTAGGTGTTTTGGTCTACAACTGCCAGAAATCCCAGCCAGTTTACCAGCTGTTAGGGTTTCTGGGAGTTGAAGGCCAAAACATCTGGGGACCCACAGGTTGAGAACTACTGGTTTACAAGAAATGTTGCTCAGGGGACGCCTAACTATATTTACTCAGTCTTTGGGGAGGCTCTTTCTGTGTTAGAAATAAGGGTAAACACTGTGAAAGCCACCCACTGCATTGCTATCAGCCTCCTCCCAGTAGACTTAAATCAAGGGAAAGCTTCATGAGAACCACTACTTCTCCAAATATTCCTCCAGTAACAGCAGCTAAACCAGGCAATCCCAACTGGATAGCTCCCCACAAGGGTCTCCAAGGGCAAACCAAGAATGGGCACCTTGGAAGTCCAAGTGGAATGGGCAGATCAAAAGACAACCTGGCAAAATGGCACAACCTAGAGCAATGGTTCTCAACCTGGGGTTCCCAGATGTTTTTGGCCTTCAACTTCCAGAAATCCTAACAGCTGGTAAATTGGCTGGGGTTTCTGGGAGTTGTAGGACAAAAACATCTGGGTACCCAAGGTTGAGAACCACTGACCTAGAGAAATCCTCCACCTTGTGCGACTTTGGAGCAGAACAAACAACTCCGCATCTGTATGCTTGCCCCAATGCACTGCCTCATGCACAGAGGAAGAAGCAGTGGTTCTCAACCCGTAGGTTCCTAGGTGGTTTGGCCCCCAACTCCCAGAAATCCCAGCCAGTTTACCAGCTGTTAGGCTTTCTGGGAGTTGAAGGCCAAAACATCTGGGGAGCCACAGGTTGAGAACCACTGGTCTAAAACTAATGTGGTTGCTGTTGCCTGTTTTTTGCTCTAAAATTATTTAGCTGCTTGTGCTCTCTCTATTTTATCACTTTTATACTGAGTTATGCAATCCTTTTGACACGAAATAAAATAAATTGTTGATGCCGGATATGGATTCTTAAGAGGGACAAAAAAGCCACAAAGAATTCCAGTGAATATAGTGATCAACAGCCATGAGTGAATTACATTCCCGTTCATCCTTTAATAGATACTATAAACTTCAATACTATTTCAACATATTAGCATATACGTGGTAGAGTGGGACTATTAGATTCTTGCCTAGACCCAGAAGTGGGAATGGTAGTTGGTCCTTAGAAAACTACACTATGTAAGTTCTCAAGTGTAATGTAACCTTGAAAGTTGGAAAAGTCTGGAATTGAGCGGAGCTAAATTTAGCAGGAAAGCAAGATTTGTGCCAGTTTCTGTTTCAGAATGTATGGTACACATACAAAAGCATGCATATATACATTTAGGTATTCCACACGGAGAAAAAAACATTCTAGGATTTGTCCACGCAGAAGACCCAAGACATGCTTGGAATCCATGATACGACTGTCATCAAATGGCACAAACAGCATAAACGAAAGCGTTCCGATAACGCGATACAAAATCTAAGCCCTTTGTGTTCTATTATAACAAGTAATGTACCAATGTCACAGTAAACTTCCTTATGTTGAACAGGATCCCTGAATGAAGACTATTAGCACTGAAAAGGTAGGCCACTGTTTTGGTTAATACAGACGTCGTAGTATGAAATATTTGTACACACAGAAAAGGCACCCATAGTTAAGTTCAATGTAGGAAACTTAAAAAAAAGAAAGGCTCACATCAACATTACTCACAGCCTCTTGCAAACGTACACATAATTTTGTGGCACCCTTAAAGGGGCCAGCTAGAACTTGTCAGTTTACAAGATTCTCAATGTATATTCATAGGTTGATACAAATCTGGCACCAGATACTAACAATTAATTGAAAGTAAGGCATTTCAGTTCAAAATGAGTAGTGTTTTGCCTTGATGTGACGAACAGCCACTGATGAACCAAACTGCCCAAAGAGTAGGGTCAACTTTCATATCTGAGACCAAAAACATTGTTAAGTTGAGAGGACATTTCCAAACAGTTCCAGATGTAGGTTAGAAGATTGAAGATGTCCGATGAGAATATTAAGATTGTGCATAGTGGGCTCACGTCGTAATTCCATGATGCAATGGATACTATACATGTAGTGCAAAGTAAAGCCTTGTGTTGCACCAACTCAGACCTTGAATTTCCACCCTTTTGGATCAGAATCCCTAAAAAACAAACCAGTTTGTACAACCAGTGAAATCAGTTTCGCAGTTCTGAACCTCTAATTTGAGGGAAACTGCAGAGATTTTCAAACACAATCTGAATACTGGCGGATAATTTTGTACGCACCAAACCTAAGCGTTGGATCTCAGGATTACAACCACGTATTTGCAATGCGTTTTCCAAAATGAAGTCTCAGTCAAGAGAATTAGATACATGATTGGGTTTGTTAAAAAAAAAATACTAACGTGGGGAGACAGGCAGTATGGCATCAGATTTTGGCACCATTAAATAACATTAATTATAATCACAAATTACTTTACACGTTTTTCTCCAAAGTTAGAGTTTTCTTTTCGGAAGGCAGAATACAATAGTGTGATTCAGAAGAAGGCACTGAACTTCTAACAGCCACTTTTTTTTTCAGTAGTGTTTTAGTTAAGCGATTCAGTAGCTAGTTTGCGCTTTCACAGTCCTTCTGCCCATTGCTCGTCTATCTAGACTGGCTATTTTGTCGTTTTCTTGAGACAAACAAATGGTTAGGATCTTTTTAAAAAATCCAACACTAGAACCAAAATAAGCTGGGTCTACAGCTAGGCTTGGCTGCCAGGAAAAAAGTGAACTTTCTTTCACTGCAACATGATATCTTTAAGGTTTTCCTGAAGGATTGTATCCTTGACAGCATGAAAGACAAAGCGGATGTTTTCAGTGTCTATGGCGGTGGTGAAGTGATGGAAAAGGGGCTTGCTGCGATTCCTCCGCTTCCGATCAAAACACTGCACCAGGTAACGCTGGACGTCCTCCAGACGGTGCGGGTCACCCTTGAAGTCTCCAAAGTACTTCTTAATGCTGACAGTCTTCACTTTCTCCACCAGAAGGTCCATTTTGTTCAGGAAGAGAATGATGGAGACGTTGAAAAAGAGCTTGTTGTTCACAATGGTCTCAAAGATGTTCATGGACTCCACGAGTCGGTTTGTGCGCCGGTCTTCCATCAGGACCTGATCGTATTCGCTCGAGGAGACCATGAACAAGATCGAGGTGATCCCATCGAAGCACTGGAACCACTTTTGCCGCTGAGACCGCTGTCCGCCCACGTCGACCATCTTGAAAGGAATCTTCTTGATGACGAAATCGTGCTCCACAATTCCCTTGGTGGCCTTTCTCGCGAGCAAGATGTCTTGCTTGCTGGGGAAATAGTTCTGCAGAAAGAGAAAGCGGAAGTAGGGAGACATCATGGATAAATAATGGATCAATAGCTGGCTCCAGGAATAATGAGGAAATTATAGGCACCGGGATTGTGGCGCAGCTGGCTGAGTGTCAGCTGCATTAAGATCACTCTGACCAAAAGATCATGAGTTCGAAGCCAGCCCGGGTTGGAGTGGGTTTCCAACCAATTGTCGACCTTTGCAACCCGAAAGACAATTGTATCTGTCAAGTAGGAAAATTAGGTACCACCTTAAAGTGTGGGGAGGCTAAATTAACTGATTTATGAGGCCATAAAGAAGACTCCAGCAAAGCATTCCAGTGGGGAAGCATGCGGGGAATGCAGAAGTGCTTCATCAGCGTCGCAGATGGACAATGAAAGCGACAGCTCCCCTGGTGGCCAGAAAAAGTTAAATAGCCTCTGTGTATGTCTGTATATGTTTGTATGTCAAAAATTGGCACTGAATGTTTGCCATATATGTGTACACTGTAATCCACCCTGAGTCCCCTGCGGGGTGAGAAGGGCAGAATATAAAAGCTGTAAACAAACAAACAAACAAACAAAACTGGAGATTAATTGAAAGGAGAGAGAAAAGATGAGTGGAGGACTTGTATACAGTAGATGGAAACCCTGTAGAACAAAAAGAACTTCAGAATAGGATAGGATCAGGAAATTGGATTCAAAGCTGGACTATAAGATGGGAAACTTTCAGATGGAGGGAAAAAAATTAGAGAACAGGATAGTCCATTTGAGAAGGTGATTAGGAAATGTGTTGTAAGTTTTTCAGGCTGTCTGGCCATGTTCCAGAAGTATTCTCTCCTGAATTTTTGCCTGCATCTATGGAAGCCTCCTCAGAGGTTGTCCGGTCTGTTGGAAACTAGGAAAATTGGGTTTATATATCTGGGGAAAGTCCAGGGTGAGAGAAAGAACTCTTTTCTGTTGGACGCAAGTGTGAATATTTCAACTGACCACCTCGATTAGCATTTAATGGCCTAGCACTTTCAAGGTGTGGCTTCTTACTGGCTGGGGGAATCTTTATGTTTGAGAGGTGATTAACTGTCCCTGATTGTTTCTCGTCTGGAGTTCCCCTGTTTTTGAGTGTTGTTCTTTATTTACTGTTATGATTTCAGAGGTTTTTTTTTTAAAAAAAAAATACTGGTAGCGAGATTTTGTTCATTTTCATGGTTTCTTTTTTTCTGTTGAAATTCATCCACATGCTTGTGGATTTCAATGGCTTCTCTGTGTTGTCTGACATGGTAGTTGTTAGAGTGGTCCAGAACAGGGACCACCAAGCGCAGCATTGCCCAAACACGAATCAAGGAACATGAAAGGCACTGCAGACTAATTCAACCAGAGAAGTCAGACATAGCTGAGCACCTGATGAACCTATCTGGACACAGCATATTATTGGAGAACACAGAGATGCTGGATCCCTTTAACAACTACCATGTCAGACCACACAGAGAAGATTACAATAATTGAGAGGGTGTGGGAACCAGTTAGGAATTATTTAGAGACTGGGTGGAAAAATTAAGACTGAGATTGATATTTCAAATGTAATTTCTGTAGTTTGCTGTTTCAATTGCATGTACAATGATGGGAGGATGGGAAAAAACAATAAAATAACAATAAAAAATAGCTGACTCCAGGGGGCTCAAGCCAAGATGTGTTGTGGCAAAAAGTATGAAGTGGGAGAGAAGAAACAAAAGCGTCATCTGCAACTAACTCCTTTGCTACACAGAAATAGCCCACTCTCATTCAGTATGTTTGCACTCCATTAAACAGCCCCAAGCAAACCCAATTTGGAGGCATCTGAAAGGTTTACAAGCCTTTTCAGTATCAAGAGCATATCCTTTGAAGTTCTGTGTAGCAGGCTTGCGACATATGCAATAAAATCTGGCATTTCTGATAAGCTAAGCCTTGTGAGTTTCACTGATGCAGGTACTGGGCAAGTTTCACTGCTACTAAATGACTGTCTAAGGCCATTTTCTAGATCAGTGGTTCTCAACCTGTGGGTCTCCAGGTGTTTCGGCCTTCAGCTCCCAGAAATCCTAACAGCTGGTAAACTGGCTGGGATCTCTGGGGGTTGTAGGCCAAAACACCTGGGGACCCACAAGTTGAGAACAACTCTTGTAGATCATCTCTAGGTCCAGGGGAAACGCACCCACTCACCAGTAAAACAACAGCACTGAAAAAGCACATTGTATTCTAATAACTGATAACAGACTTATGTTTCAGTAAATGGATATGTTACCCTATGCCAGTGGTGCTCAACCTGGGGTCCCCAGATGTTTATGGCCTACAACTCCCAGAAATCCTAGCTAGTTTACCAGCTGTTAGGATTTCTGGGAGTTGAGGGTCAAAAACATCTGGGGACCCCAGGTTGAGAACCACTGCCCTATGCTTATATGTAACTGTAAGTGCAACCTGACAATTGAGATTCTATTACTTGGTGGTCTATATATTCACATTGCCTATTCTTCTCTGTCACACATTTGTTTTATTCTAACATGCGCAAATACAAACACTTCTCGCTTTATATAGCATGTTTTGAAAAAAGAAATCTGCATTTAGATTTTCCCCAGAAAGTAAATAAAACTGGAAATAATTTTGAAAAGAATAGCAGTAGATAGTAAGAAGTTTTTCATTCTGTTTAAAGCAGGGGTCCTCAAACTTTTTAAACAGAGGGTCAGATCGCAGTCCCCCAAACTGCTGGAGGGCCGGATTATAATTTGAAAAAAAAAATGAATGAATTCCTATGCACACTGCACATCTTATTTGCACTGCAAGAAAACACTTTAAAACAGTGGTTCTCAACCTGGGGTCCCCAGATGTTTTTGGCCTACAATTCCCAGAAATCCCAGCCAGTTTAGCGGCTATTATTATTATTATTATTATTATTATTATTATTATTTGTACCCCGCTAACATCTCCCAAAGGACTCGGTGTGGCTTACAAAGGCCAAGGCCCTCAATAAAACAACAGCATAACAAATACAACAATAAAACTCAAAAAACGCAAACCAATAAACGTTAAAGCAATAACAGTAAAACATTAAAACAATAGCATAATGACACATTTAAAACATCATGACACATTTAAAACTGTTAGGATTTCTGGGAGTTGAAGGCCAAAAACATCTGGGACCCCAGGTTGAGAACCACTGCTTTAAAACAATACAATAATTACAATGAAGAACAATTTTAACAAATATTAACTTATTAGTATTTTAATGGGAAGTGTGGACCTGATTTTGGTCGATGAGATAGGATTGTTGTTGTTGTGGTGTGTGCTTTCAAGTCATTTCAGACTTGACACTGAGCGAGGGCCAGGTAAATGACCTTGGAGGGCCGTATCCGGCCCCCGGGTCTTAGTTTGAGGACACCTTCTAAGTCAGTGGTTCTCATCCTGTGGGTCCCCCGGTGTTTTGACCTACAACTCCCAGAAATCCCATCCAGTTTACCAGCTGTTAGGATTTCTGGGAGTTGAAGGCCAAAACATCTGGGGACCCACAGGTTGAGAATCACTGCTCTAAGTCAACACCTGGATCAATCCAACTTAGACTTGGAAGTCCCTGAAGAGACTCAGAAGTGGAATGGGCAGATCAAAAAACAACCTGGCAAAATGGCACTACCTAGAAGAATCCTCCACCTTGTTCGACTGTGGAGCAGAACGAACAACTCTGCATCTGTATGTTTGTCCACTATGCCCTGCCTCATGCACAGAGGAAGAACGGTCTAAAGCAGTGGTTCTCAACCTTTGGGTCCCCAGGTGTTTTGGCCTCCAACTCCCAGAAATCTCAGCCAGTTTACCAACTGTTAAGAATTTCTGGGAGTTGAAGGTCAAAGCACCTGAGGACCCACAGGCTGAGAACCACTGCTCTAAGTCAACATCTAGATCAGGAGTCCTTAAACTAAGGCCTGAGGGCTAGATACGGCCCTCGAAGGTCATTTACCTGGCCCTCGCTCAGGGTCAACCTAAGTCTGAAACGACTTGAAAGCACACAACAACAACCCTATCTCATCAGCCAAAAGCACACCCACACTTCCAATTGAAATACTAATATGTTTATATTTGTTAAAGTTGTTCTTCATTTAAATTATTGTATTGTTTCGAAATGTTTCTGCACTACAGATAAGATATGTGCAGTGTTCATAGGAATTCATTCATGTTTTTTTTCAAATTATAATCCAGCCCTTCAACAGTTTGAGGGACTGTGACCTGATCCTCTGTTTAAAAAGTTTGAGGACCCCTGATCTAGATCAACCCAACTTAGACATCAGAGGGAAAACACATACAGGAGGGACACAAATACCACGGATAGAATGTGGCTAGGAAAACAATTAAAACTTACCAACTGTCCAATCCGGTCCAGATTATCCAGGAAATATTTCACTGATTCACCCTGTTGAGAGAAGGGGATATGTGTGGCTTAATGCTATTTTTGGAGTAAGTTTACAAAGCCCATATCTTGTTGAAAACGCAGAAAGGTGTATTTGTTCGCCACTCCTGATATTTATCCAAAGTTGTGAACAAAAAATTGCTTGAATAGCAATGATACAGGAAAAATATACTGTTCCATAACCATCTATGCATTCTGTCTAATGAAATCATAAAAAGATGATAGAATAGAAGACAAGGGATAATTCAGATTATAAACCTCCAAGGAAGGAGCTTCCACTACACTCTGGGATAGACCACATCAGCTCTAGATTGCTAAATATGATTTTCTGTGGGTGAGCAAATGGTGACTACTAGATGTTCTGTATCAGAAACTAGAGCTGATGTGGTCTATCCCATGCAATTTTCTGAATCAGCACCCAAGTAAACAAACTGAATAGAAAGTTAAGAAAAAACTGATTTATAACGCTTTTGTACTAATGTTGGAGTGTGGTCCCGGGTCAAAGTGGTTCCTGGTCAAAAAAAAAAAAGGTTGGGAACCACTAATCTATGGAGACACATATACATGTAACATAGTTGCACACACTTGAGCAAAATATACACTGACTTAATGTATTGTCGAAGGCTTTCATGGCTGGAATCACTAGGTTCTTGTGGGTTTTTCCGGGCTATAGAGCCATGTTCTAGAGGCATTCTCTCCTGACGTTTCGCCTGCATCTATGGCAAGCATCCTCAGAGGTAGTGAGGTCTGTTGGAATTAGGACCTCACTACCTCTGAGGATGCTTGCCATAGATGCAGGCGAAACGTCAGGAGAAATGCCTCTAGAACATGGCTCTATAGCCCGAAAAAACCCACAAGAACCTATACACTGACTTACTTCCAGTCTAAAAGAAAAACAAACAACCTTAACATTGTTTCTCACATCTATATAAATAAAAATGTAATATTCGTTTGTGGGATGAACATAACTCAAAAACCACTGGACGAATTGACACCAAAGTTGGACACAAGACACCTACCAGGCCAAGGAGTGACCAGCACTCATAAAAACACTGAAAAACAAAGCAGAAACTTAAAAAGCAAAATATATATATATAATAAGGAATACACTACAACGTATGTGCAAAACCACATATATAAATAAAAATGTAATGTTTGTTTGTGGGATTAACATAACTCAAAAACCACTGGACGAACTGACACCAATTTTGGACACAATACACCTCTCAGGCCAAGGAGTGACCAGCACTCATAAAAACACTGAAAAACACAGCAGAAGAGACTTAAAAAAAAATAAAGAATACATTACAACGCATGTGCAAAACCACATATATATACACATGCATACACACACAAAAAACACATATAGACAGACTGGGCCACAGCAACACGTGGCAGTGGATAGCTAGTAATTAATACAATCCTTGTTATGTCCAGAAGTAGAAGAACAGACATATTTCAAATATGCCTGAAGCACCCATCAAAGAGTTAAAGAGTTGTTCCAATGTACCTTCCCAGAATAAGGAGAACTCTCAGCAATATGCCCTCATAATGCACTTTAATACTGACTTAGGATGGATTGTGTTCCCTCGTTTCTCTCTGAAAATTCCTATCCCAGTTACATTTTACCTGTTCACGTCAGCATATTTTCAATTTTAATCTATTACATTTGGCCCGGCCATTTTTAATATGTCATCATTGATTGTTGTTTTTGTTATGTGATTTATATGATTTGTATTTTATTGTTTATTAATGTTGTGTTATTGATATACTTCGGGCTTGGCCTCATGTAAGCCGCACCAAGTCCCTTGGGGAGATGGTAGCGGGGTACAAATAAAAAACAAGCCCTATGAGGAGCGGCTTAAGGAGCTGGGCATGTTTAGCCTGAAGAAGAGAAGCCTGAGAGGAGATATGATAGCCATGTATAAATATGTGAGAGGAAGCCACAGGGAGGAGGGAGCAAGCTTGTTTTCTGCTTCCCTGGAGACTAGGACGCAATGGAACAATGGCTTCAAACTACAAGAGAGGAGATTCCATCTGAACACGAGGAAGAACTTCCTGACTGTGAAAGCCGTTCAGCAGTGGAACTCTCTACCCTGGAGTGTGGTGGAGGCTCCTTCTTTGGAAGCTTTTAAACAGAGGCTGGATGGCCATCTGTCAGGGGTGATTTGAATGCAATATTCCTGCTTCTTAGCAGGGGGTTGGACTGGATGGCCCATGAGGTCTCTTCCAACTCTTTGATTCTATTATTATTATTATTATTATTATTAAACGGGGGTACGACAAACCTGATGCTCACTTGGCTCCTGTACTACCCATTTCAATACATTCACTTCACAAACATCACTGCCTTAGGGAACTGTTGGGAATAATATAAGCCCAGCATTGCATTGTATCAAGGGTGGTCCTCTCAGGTTATCACATGTGAAAAGCTAGATCCTACGTATATTACAAATGTACCAGAGAACCGGAAATCTGGGGAACTGGATTGACAAATTCCAATACATTCCAGAATTCAACAAATTCAGATTGGACTTAAAAGTTTCAGATTTGAAACAATGGCATAATGTAATCTTTCAACAGGTTTTAAATGTCTCTAATACTAAACCAACAGTACCAACAGGGGCTAACAAGAAGGAAGTCTCAAATATCCTTGTGCTAAGTCTGTTATCTTTTTTTCCCCAATTGCAGAGGCTATGTTTTGATTATTCCATCTGAGAGAAACACACCACCCACTTTCCAATTGAAACCTGATTTTGTCCTACAATTCTTGTTCCATCTACTCAAAGAGTTAACAGAAAAAAAAAGCAGATGATTAATTTCAGCTCGGAGTGCCCCCTCCTCTAATGCTCGATATCCTCTGAGTCAGTTTTGCCAACTAGGACCGAATGGGAGGTGCTGTTCCCATTGTTGAGCGGCAGCCATGAGTCACTCCACATCTGGGAATGGAAGCACGCAGCAAAAGGAACAAACACTATACTGGCTTAGAAAAAGTCAGCTCCCACATTTCAGCATTACTCTGAACTTCATATCTGGGTTTTTTGTTTTGTTTTGTTTGTTTATAGCTGGCTTACACTCTGCATTCTTACTCTGCTGGTCTTGAAAGGCTGACTATGGGGACATTTATGACATCTTCATTTCCGACACTTAAAAGGAAACAGTTTCTTCTTTCTTGCATTTGATGTTGAAAACAACTGCACAAAGTTAACAGAAGCCACACCGAAAAGCACCCAATGAGGACACTTGCATGAGAACACGGATGCTAGAAATACTGCAACTCGGTTGTTGTAGGTTTTTTTCAGGCTATATGGCCATGTTCTAGAGGCATTCTCTCCTGACGTTTCGCCTGCATCTATGGCAAGCATCCTCAGAGGTAATGAGGTCTGTTGGAACTAGGAAAAGGGTTTATATATCTGTGGAATGACCAGGGTGGGACAAAGGACTCTTGTCTGCTGGAGCTAGGTGTGAATGTTTCAACTGACCACCTTGTTTAGCATTTGATGGCCTGGCAGTGCCTGGAGCAATCTTTTGTTGAGAGGTGATTAGATGTCCCTGATTGTTTTCCCTCTGCTGTTCCACAGATATATAAACCAATTTTCCTAGTTCCAACAGACCTCACTACCTCTGAGGGTGCTTGCCATAGATGCAGGCGAAACGTCAGGAGAGAATGCCTCTAGAACATAGCCATACAGCCCAAAAAAACCCTACAACAACCCAGAGATTCCAGCCATGAAAGCCTTCAACAATACTGCAACTCCTATATTTTCCCACTATAATAGTTGAGAAAAACAACACATGCAATTGTCAGCTGGTTTTATTTCTTTGTGTACAAAGCAGACACAAGATAAGTGCTCCCTAGCAATACTTCTACACACAAATACAATTAAATGTGTTTGTGCCAGAAAAAACTACACTCATTGCACAAATTTCACACTTGAATTCTTGATCATTTTGAGCATAATTAAAACATCTCCTATAGATCTGGTATGGGCAAACCCAGGCCTGGGGATCAGATGCAGCCCCTTGGGCTCTTTTATCAGGCCTTCCTCTCTCTCAGCACACTATCCTTCCTTCCTTCTCTCTTTTCTTCCTCATTCCCTTCCTTACTTCTCTCTTCCTCCTTCCTTCTTTCCCTTCCACCCTTTCTTCCTTCCCTCTTCCTCCTTCCTTCTCTCTCTCTTTCTACTTCCTTCCTTCTTTCCTTCCTTCTCTCTTCCCTCCCTCCATTCCCTTCTACCCTTCCTTCCATCCTCCCTCCCATCCTTCTCTTCCTCCCTCCCGTCTCTTTTTCCTTCCTCCTTTCCTCCTGGGGGTTGTTTAACTGGGAAAAGAGAAGATGGAGATTTCCATTTTCCAAAAGTACATTTTTTTTACAGATTAAATATCCAGTTTCACTTCCCTACGCTTCAAATACAGCCCTCCCTCTGGTCCGAAGTGTTTCTAGGCTGCTACGTACAGTGAGAGTTTTATGGTTTGTTACCAGAAGCAATACAACTTAGAGGTCCCTTAAAAATGACACTGAAAAATGGGATCTTGGCTGTACCCAAGAGAGCGGCATTTTTTTTTTTCTGTTGGGCTAACAGTGCGGCTGGAAAGGAGTCCCGGCTACTAGGATCCTATGATCAAACACACCACATAATGCAATCTGTTATGTGCAATTTCTTTCCTGCTAGATGTTTTCTAGGCTTTCTTGCCAGACTCAAATGAATAAATGAAGCTCAGTTAGTTTCTTTGGGGATGCGGTAGGGCAAGTTATCCTCTTAGGACACATACTGACAGTTTGTTCAGGAGTTAAGCCAAATGAAGCACAGATCAGCTACAGTCTCAACTGCAGGAATCAATGTTGCCATCAGAGAAGACGTTTGAAAAGTGTCACTAATGTATTATTCAAAGCAACATTTTCCACCTTCTCAAGGAGAACTCCCCTTAAAGGATGTTTCTGGACGCCTTTCGTACACACATGCAAATGCACACACAAATAGTGAAATCAATCACACAGTTGT